AAGAAGGAGGGAAACGTGGACTGATTTAATACGCCTTGGAAGCCAAAGTGTCATCTGCACTCCAAACCTAGTTTATCATATTAGCTGCGACCAGTCGTTAAATGGTGCATTGACCGTCCAGGTAATTATGTAAGATTATTCCTAATTGTTATATTTAATCAACTCTTGTGTGCAGGGATAGAAAAGAACAAGTCGCTTGTTCAATGTCAACTAAATAAGTATTAAGTATACCATACTTTGAAATTGCCATTAGGGAGTGTGTGAGAATTATGCTTGGTCAGTCTTTGGTGGGCAAAACGAACCTGCATGTTTGAGGACAGTAACAAAATTAAATTATTAGATAATTCACCTCTTAAACACAGTAAAAATCATGGATTATTGCTTATAACTTTTATGGGGTTAATTTAAATAGGGGAAAAGGAAATTATAAAAACCTGATTGACTGAGTCAGTTGGCCAATTTTTAAAACTCTTGCTACTAAAAAGAAGTTTCTTGTGACAGAGTGGACACCCAGCCTTATCAGTGTGGATAAGTTTCAGGGAAGGAGAGTAATTTTTGATCAGACTGCATTTACCCATTATTTTTAAAAGGGTTTTTTTAAAAGGGAGCTTAGTGATTTTATGTGAATCTATAGAGTGTCCGTACATTTAAATCTTTGGGAGCTTTTAATTTTTAGCGTCTGACTTAAAAGTCTATGTAGTTGAAAAGAGTTTTTTAGCCTTTTATCCATTGCACATTTATAATAGTCCTTACAGTGTTAATTGATTGTTTAGTTGCCCTGAGGTTTTGGCACCCATTTAATCCAAAACAGCTAACTCAGCTCGTTTAATATTTGACCTGGTATTCCTACTGCATAAGGAACATCTGATTTGATATAACTTGTTACTACGTGCAATAAGCTGCACCGTATAGGTGACAGACACTTCATTCTCTGTTTTATTTTGTCAGTCAGCCTATCAAGTCCATTCGTTCTTAGGAGGGATTCCGACTGCCCAGGATAAAGGGAGAGGGAAACTTGTACTGATAAATACTCCTTAGAAGCCAAATTGTCATCTGCACTCCGAACCTAGTGTATTATGTTAGCTGTGACCAGTCGTTAACTGGTGCATTGACCGTCCAGGTAATGATGTAAGATTATTCCTAATTGTTTATATTTAATCAACTCTTGTGTCCAGGGATAGAAAAGAACAGGTCGCTTGTTCAATGTCAACTACGTGAGTATTGAGTATACCATACTTTGAAATTGCCGTTTAGGAGTGTGTGAGAATTATGCTTTGTCAGTCTTTGGTGGCCAAAACGAACCTGCATGTTTGAGGAGAGTAACAAAATTAAATTATTAGATAATTTAGCTCTTAAACTCAGTAAAAATCATGGATTATTGCTTATAACTTTTATGGGGTTAATTTAAATAGGGGAAAAGGAAATTAAAAAACCTGAGTGACTGACTCAGTTGGCTAATTTTTAAAACTCTTGCTACTAAAAAGAAGTTTCTTGTAACAGAGTGGACACACAGCCTACCAGTGTGGATCAGTTTCAGGGAAGGAGAGTAATTTTTGATCAGACTACATTTATCCCTTATTTTTAAAGGATGTTTTTTTAAAGGGAGCGTAGTGATTTTATTTGAATCTATAGAGTGTCCATACATTTAAATCTTTGGGAGCTTTTAATTTTTAGTGTCAGACTTATAAGTCTATGTAGTTGAAAAGAGTTTGTAGCCTTTTATCCATTGCACATTTATAATAGTCCTTACAGTGTTAATTGATTGTTTAGTTCCCCTGAGGTGGGGGAACCCATTTAATCCAAAATTTAACTCAGCCGTTTAATATTTGACCTGGGCACTGCATAAGGTGCATCAGATTTGATATAACTTGTTACTATGTGCAATAAGCTGCTTCCTATAGCTGACAGAAACTTCATTCTCTGTTTTATTTTGTCAGTCAGCCTATCAAGTTGATTCGTTCTTAGGAGGGATTCGAACTGCCGAGGATAAAGGGGGAGAGACACTTGGACTGATAGATACGCCTTGGAAGCCAAAGTGTCATCTGCACTCCGAACCTAGTATATCATGTTAGCTGCGACCAGTCGTTAACTGGTGCATTGACCTTCCAGGTAATTATGTAAGTTTATTCCTAATTGTTATATTTATTGAACTCTTGTGTCCAGGGATAGAAAAGAACAAGTCGCTTGTTCAATGTCAACTACATAAGTATTGAGTATACCATAGTTTGAAATTGCCGTTTAGAAGTCTGTGAGAATTATGCTTGGTCAGTGTTTGGTGTCGAAAACGAACCTGCATGTTAGAGGACAGTAACAAAATTAAATTATTAGATAATTCAGCTCTTAAACTTCATAAAAATCATGGATTATTGATTATAACTTTTATGGGGTTAATTTAAATACGGAAAAAGGAAATTAAAAAACCTGCTTGACTGACTCAGTTGGCCAATTTTTAAAACTCTTGCTAGTAAAAAGAAGTTTCTTGTGACCGAGTGGACACCCGGCCTATCAGTGTGGATTAGTTTCAGGGAATGATCAGACTACGTTTATCCCTTATTTTTAAACGATGTTTTTTGTAAAGAAGCTTAGTGATTTTATTTGAATCTATAGAGTGTCCATACATTTAAATCTTTGGGAGCTTTTGATTTTTAGCGTCTGACTTAAAAGTCTATGTAGTTGAAAAGAGTTTGTTAGCCTTTTATCCATTGCACATTTATAATAGTCCTTACAGTGTTAATTGATTATTTAGTTGCCCTGAGGTGGGGGCACCCATTTAATCCATAACAGCTAACTCAGCTTGTTTAATATTTGACCTGGTATTCCTACTGCATAAGGTGCATCAGATTTGATATAACTTGTTACTACTTGCAATAAGCTGCACCGTATAGGTGACAGACACTTCATTCTCTGTTTTATTTTGTCAGTCAGCCTATCAAGTCCATTCGTTCTTAGGAGGGATTCGGACTGCCCAGGATAAAGGGAGAGGGAAACTTGTACTGATAAATACGCCTTGGAAGGCAAATTGTCATCTGCACTCCGAACCTCTTGTATTATCTTAGCTGTGACCAGTCGTTAACTGGTGCATTGACCGTCCAGGTAATTATGTAAGATTATTCCTAATTGTTATATTTAATCAACTCCTGTCTGCAGGGATACAAAGGAACAAGTCGCTTGTTCAATGTCAACTACGTGAGTATTGAGTATACCATACTTTGAAATTGCGGTTTAGGAGTGTGTTTTAATTACGCTTTGTCATTCTTTGGTGGCCAAAACGAACCTGCATGTTTGAGGACGGTAACAAAATTAAATTATTAGATAATTCACCTCTTAAACACAGTAAAAATCATGGATTATTGCTTATAACTTTTATGGGGTTAATTTAAATTGGGGAAAAGGAAATTAAAAAACCTGATTGACTGACTCAGTTGGCCAATTTTTAAAACTCTTGCTACTAAAAAGAAGTTTCTTGTGACAGAGTGGACACCCAGCCTATCAGTGTGGATCAGTTTCAGGGAAGGAGAGTAATTTTTGATCAGACTGCATTTATCCATTATTTTTAAAAGGTGTTTTTTAAACGGGAGCTTAGTGATTTTATATGAATCTATAGGGTGTCCATACATTTAAATCTTTGGGAGCTGTTAATTTTTAGTGGTTGACTTAAAAGTCTATGTAGTTGAAAAGAGTTTGTTAGCCTTTTATCCATTGCACATTTATAATAGTCCTTACAGTGTTAATTGATTGTTTAGTTGCCCTGAGGTGGGGGCACCCATTTAATCCTAAACAGCGAACTCAGCTCGTTTAATATTTGACCTGGTATTCCTACTGCATAAGGTGCATCAGATTTGATGTAACTCGTTACTATTTGCAATAAGCTGCTTCCTATAGCTGACAGACACTTTATATCTCTGTTTTATTTTTTCAGTCAGCCTATCAAGTCGATTCGTTCTTAGGAGGGATTCGAACTGCCCAGGATAAAGGGGGAGGAAAACTTGGACTGATAAATACGCCTTGGAAGCCAAAGTGTCATCTGCTCTCTGAACCTAGTATATCATGTTAGCTGCGACCAGTCGTTAACTGGTGCATTGACCTTCCAGGTAATTATGTAAGATTATTCCTAATTGTTATATTTAATCAACTCTTGTGTCCAGGGATAGAAAAGAACAAGTCGCTTGTTCAATGTCAACTACATAAGTATTGAGTATACCATACTTTGAAATTGCCCTTTAGGAGTGTGTGAGAATTATGCTTGGTCAGTGTTTGGTGTCCAAAACGAACCTGCATGTTAGAGGACAGTAACAAAATTAAATTATTAGATAATTCAGCTCTTAAACTTCATAAAAATCATGGATTATTGGTTATAACTTTAATTTTATGGGGTTAATTTAAATAGGAAAAAGGAAATTAAAAACCTGATTGACTGACTCAGTTGGCCAATTTTTAAAACTCTTGCTACTAAAAGAAGTTTCTTGTGACAGAGTGGACACCCAGCCTATCAGTGAGGATCAGTTTCAGGAAGGAGAGTAATTTTTGATCAGACTACATTTATCCATTACTTTTAAAAGGTGTTTTTTAAAAGGGAGCTTAGTGATTTTATGTGAATCTATAGAGTGTCCATACATTTAAATCTTTGGGAGCTGTTAATGTTTAGCGTCTGACTTAAAAGTCTATATAGTTGAAAACAGTTTTTTAGCCTTTTATCCATTGCACATTTATAATAGTCCTTACAGTGTTAATTGATTGTTTAGTTGCCCTGAGGTGGGGGCACCCATTTAATCCAAAACAGAGAACTCAGCTCGTTTAATATTTGACCTGGTATTGGTACTGCATAAGGTGCATCAGATTTGACATAACTTGATACTACGTGCAATAAGCTGCTTCCTATAGCTGACAGACACTTCTTCCCTGTTTTATTTTGTCAGTCAGCCTCTCAAGTTGATTCGTTCTTAGGAGGGAATCGCACTGCCCATTATAAAGGGGGAGGGAAACTTGGACTGATAAATACGCCTTGGAAGCCAAAGTGTCATCTGCACTCCGAACCTAGTATATCATGTTAGCTGCGACCAGTCGTTAACTGGTGCATTGACCTTCCAGGTAATTATGTAAGATTATTCCTAATTGTTAAATTTATTGAACTCTTGTGTCCAGGGATAGAAAAGAACAAGTCGCTTGTTCAATGTCAACTACATAAGTATTGAGTATACCATAGTTTTAAATTGCCGTTTAGAAGTGTGTGAGAATTATGCTTGGTCAGTGTTTGGTGTCGAAAACGAACCTGCATGTTAGAGGACAGTAACAAAATTAAATTATTAGATAATTCAGCTCTTAAACTTCATAAAAATCATGGATTATTGGTTATAACTTTAATTTTATGGGGTTAATTTAAATAGGGAAAAAGGATATTAAAAAACCTGTTTGACTGACTCAGTTGGGCAATTTTTAAAACTCTTGCTACTAAAAAGAAGTTTTTTGTGACCGAGTGGACACCGAGCCTATCAGTGTGGATCAGTTTCAGGGAAGGAGAGTAATTTTTGATCAGAGTACATTTATCCCTTATTTTTAAAGGATGTTTTTTTAAATGGAGGGTAGTGATTTTATTTGAATCTATAGAGTGTCCATACATTTAAATCTTTGGGAACTTTTAATTTTTAGTGTCAGACTTATAAGTGTATGTAGTTGAAAAGAGTTTGTAGCCTTTTATCCATTGCACATTTATAATAGTCCTTACAGTGTTAATTGATTGTTTAGTTGCCCTGAGGTGGGGGCACCCATTTAAACCATAACAGGTAACTCAGTTCGTTTAATATTTGACATGGTAATCCTACTGCAGAAGGTGCATCAGATTTCATATAACTTGTTACTACGTGCAATAAGGTGCACTGTACAGGTGACAGACACTTCATTCTCTGTTTTATTTTGTGTGTCAGCCTATCAAGTCTATCCGTTCTTAGGAGGGATTTGCACTGCCTAGGATAAAGGAGGGCAACTTGGACTGATGGATACGCCCTGCAAGCCACCTTGTCATCTGCGCTCCGAACCTAGTATATGATGTCAGCTGTAACCAGTTGCCAACTGGTGCATTAACCTTTCAGGTAATGATGTAAGATTATTCCTAATTGTTATATTTATTCAACTCTTGTGTCCAGGGATAGAAAAGAACAAGTCGCTTGATCAGTGTCAACTGTGTGAGTATTGAGTATACCACACTTTGTAATGGCGCCCTTAGGACTGTGTCAGAATTACGCTTGGTCAGTCTTTGGTGTCAAAAACGAACCTGCATGTTAGAGGACAGTAACAAAATTAAATTATCAGATAATTTAGCTCTTAAATTTAGTAAAAGTCATGGATTATTGGTTATAACTTTTATGGGGTTAATTTTATAGGGGAAAAGGAAATTAAAAAACCGGATTCACTGACTGAGTTGAAATTTTGAGGAGAGATAAGTTTTCGCTTATTATAAGGTTTTGGTGACCAGTGTGAAGAAGATGAGAATATAGAAGATGAAAGTGTTGTTGTCAGAATGCTGAATTGTGGTACAGAAAAAGGAAAACACAAAAGCTAAAACAACAAAACTGCAGGTAGCTTTGCAAAGAACATTTTTCTTCTTGACCAAATTATATATTGTGAAACTGGATCATTGTTATCTTATGATAGCTAAATAATATTGAAGAAAGCACAAGCGATAACATGAAATTGTGTTTTATTTCTAAAGGAATCCTCGTATTTGCAAGGCCTTGTTCCATAGTGGTTGATGTGAAGGAGCTCTTTGGGGCTGAGAGCAAGTCTCAAGTGTACGCACATGTGCATAATTTCTTAAAGAAAATTAAAGACACTAGTAAGTATATTTTTTGCAGTTATGACTATTATTATAACAGTATCAACAAAGTGCTTAATGTATTAATAGGCCATTTCCGAGTTCCAGAAAATCTCAGTTTCAAAACGAGTCTAAGTGCGAAATCTTTGTTGTGAAAATTAGTTTTATTTGCATCATAATTAAAACTCATTTTCACACAAAGGTTTCGCACTTAGCCTCGTTTTGAAAGTGAGATTTTTTGAAACTCGGAAATGCCCTATTGATGTATTGTCAAACAACATTTCCCTAAAAGAATATTATTTTTACTATCTTTAAGATGTTCTGTTTTATGATGATGCGTGTCATTTGAAACGCTATGCCCAAAATCTAGTGAGAAAGGATGCCAGTGATATTGCAAGAAAGATGGCCACTATGGACATGGTGTGTGATTGCTTTCACTTTGCCAACCATACAGATAAATGGTGTAAGAAAAATTGCAATCCGTACAAGACTGCCAATTTAGAGGTAAATAACAATTGTGTAACCAAAGGAAATAATATTAAGGTAATTGAAGGAAAATTTTTCAAAAGATAGGCTAACTTGAGAAATTGAGCACTTTGTTACTGAAGGAATGAGAACATAGCTTTCACCGCTATGGCTTTTGAACTTGAAGTGTTTGTGGCTTACAGCCCCAACACACTACGTCCGCCCTC